CGCCGCAATCCCTTCTCCTCCATTCTCCTCTCGGGATCCTGGGCACGCACGCACACGCGCCCGGCGTGAGTTTTAAGCCACCGGGTCCAGGACCCGGACCGCAGTCGACTACGTGGGAGTCCAGCGACATAGCCATTACGCTAACTGCTGGTTCCACTGTTTTCTTCTAATAAACTGAACTAAAAAGAAATAATCACAAAAATGTTCTGTTTAATCCTACCCTTAAAAAACTGCCAGCCTCAAGACAAGCAGATGTTATAATGAGTACATCAACATAGTTGACCACAGTTCTCATCCTAGACTCAACAGCTTAAAACTCACACTGGATGCCATGTGCAAACGTGCCTAAAATCCCGAAAGGAGAATGGAGAAGAAAGGACTGTGGTGCGGCCCCCTCCCCGCCAAGGGGAGTGATTTCTCACTTTCTGTCTCTCTGTCAAGCACACGCTCCCTATAGCAAAAATCTCTTTTAAAAAAAATAATAAAAATTGCAGCCTCATAGCATAGAGAGCACAGTACATACACAGTGGCTCCCACATGGCTGACCACAGTTTGGGTCCCTAAGCCTGGTGGCTCAAAGAACACACTAGTACATTTGGTTATATGCCAAAAATCCTAATAGGATAGAGACATAAAGGAAAAATGATTATGACATGACCATACTCTACTAGGGGATGCTTTCCCTCTCTCTGTCCCTCTCTCTCTCTGTCTCTCTCTGGCAAGTGTACTTGCGCTCTGGCTATTAAAAAGCAAATTCATTCATTTTTCTAGTCCTCCTTTCAGTCTCCCACTAAAAATACAGCAAGTTATCTGGAAAGTTAATCAAACAGTAATACCATTTCTTTCTTATTTTTTGGAGAGAGATTTTTTGTTACAGGGTATGTGTACCCACCAGAGAGAGACAGAAAGCAAGAATTCTCTCCCAGGGAATATGACACCACAAACCCTTCTCTTCCATTCTTCCCTCAAGATCTTGGGCACACATGCACACACACACACCTAGCATGAGTTTTAAGCCATCAGGTCCAGGACTCGAACCACGATCAACTATGTGGGAATCCCGTGACATAAACATTACGCCATCTGCTGGTCCCAATACCATTTATTGCTGAGAGAGTTAAATTCTTTCTATTGTTTTGTATTTTCTTTTCTTTTTTGTTCTTTTTTTTTTTTGTGTTTTTTTTTTTTTTTTTTTGAGAGGTTTTTGCTATAGGGTGTGCTCGCTCGCCAGAAAGACAGACAGACAGAAAGCAAGAAATCCCCCAGGGGGCATGGCCACGATGCAATCCCTTCTCCTCCAGGGATCTTGGGCATGCACGCACACACACCCAGTGTGAGTTTAAGCTACCAGGTCTGGGACTTGAACCGTGATCGACTACATGGGAGTCTAGTGACATAGCCATTACACCAACTGCGGTCCTGCTTTGTATTAAGTTTTAAGTGAGTATGTATTTTATAAACATAGTATAGACTTTTTATCAAAAAAAACAGCTCTTTGACCACTATAATCTTTCCCCAGCTTCCCAAACTATAAGTCAGTTCGGAAAAAAAAAAACTTTTAGGGGCCAGCAGGTGGCATGGTGGTTAAAGGCTCTGGATTCTCACATGGTAAACCATGGTTCAAGTCCTGGACATGATAGCTTGCTTTCTTGCTTTCCCTTTCTCTGTCTCTCTCTGGTCAAATTTAAAAATAATAATAAATGAAATTAGATAAATATTTTTTAAGATAAAAAATAAACAAAAGAGTATCTTTTAGCCAACAAAAGGAAACTCAATGCAAAGTGTACCCATATCAATAAGCACATAAAACAACAGGCTTTCTAATTTTGAATTTTCTCTCTTTGGGCTCTGTAATACCAGAGTAAATTAAATCATCTATGCATGATATTTATAAGGCAAGCCCCAAAAGTCTCATACCTTCACAACAGGATGTCCCCCAGTAGATGCTTTTACTGCCCCTCGGCTACCTTCGGTTTCATAATGGGCTCGATGATGAGTTTTAGGTTGCACTTCAATTTTCAGTTCACACTGTCCAAAGTGAGTTGGTAAAGGCCAGTCTAGTGGAGGTAATGAAGATGTGCTATAAACAAAACACACAAAGATGCATTTCACCATGCTACTGATGACAGTGATTGAAATCACTTCTTAGCCAGTATCAACATTTCTTCTATGACTTTTAAAACAAAATATTCCAGAAGAAAACTTAGTATGTCATAAATTGGTTGTGCTGGCTGCTTAATAAGTAGTTCTTTAATCTAAAAAATAAAACCAAAGGCCAGCCTGTGGTATGGTAGTGAAGGTAACTGGATTCAGCATGGCTCACACACAGTTCAAGTCCTGGCCCCAAGGACTTGAAAAAATGTTGGGCACATGTGTCTGTGTGCCCAAATTCCCAAAAGGAGGGAGAAATGGAGAAGAGGTTGCGGCATGACCATTCCTCATAGGTAGTGCTTTCTCACCCTTTCCCTGTTTTTCTCTGCCTCTCCCTGGTGAGCATACACATCCTCTGGAAATTTTCTTTTTTTAAAGAAAGAAAATCTATTTTACATACTTCTAGTTTCTCATTTTTTTGGAAAAAGACGATTTGTAAAACTGTTAACTGTTTCTCAGTTATATGTATTAATTACAAAACAATCAAGAGAATAGTAATTCTATATTGCTTTTTATTTTGCTAGAGGGTGCATGCAGTCATAGAATTGTAAAAGAGAGAGAATGAAAGTGAGAAAGCATCTGCTAGGGGAATGGTCACATTGCAATCCCTTCTCTTTCATTACTCCTTTTGAAATTTTGGGTTGGGATCAGCAGTTGGCTTGATGGCTATGTTGCTGGACTCCCACGTAGTCAACCGTGGTTTGAGTCCTGGGCCTAGTAGCTTAGACTCACACCGGGGACGTGTGTGTGCATGCCCAAGATTCCAAGAGGAAAATGGAGGAGAAGGGATTGGGGCATGGCCACCCCTCCCTGGGGGGTGACTTCTCGCTTTCTGTCTCTCTGTCTCTGTCTGTCTGTCTAGTGAGCGCACGCGCCCAATAGCAAAAAAAAAAAAAACTCTCAAAAAAAAAAAAAAAGAAATTTGGGGTACACCTACACAGGTGCCCCACATGGTTTTTGTTTAATTTTAACTTATTTTATTTTTATTAATTTTTTAAATTTCTAGTTTAACCAGAGAAAGAAAGTGAGAAAGCAAGTTGCCAAGTCTGTGATTTGAACCACAATCGGCCATGTGGGAGTCCAGCACCTTAACCACCACACTACCTGCTGGCCCGCCCCACGTTTTTCAAGCTGTCAGGTCTTGACTTGAACCTTGAAGTCGGTTGTATGGGATACAACTGCTTTAACACTATGTCAACAGCTGTCACTTTTTTTTTTTTTTGAGACAGAGCTAGAGAGTTTTGACAGGGTCTTACCATGTCACAATCCTTCTGCCCCAGTCTCCCAGTTAACCAGAACCAAAGCAGGGTGGGAGCCAATCCCAAACCTTCCATAAAGCCCCAGCTACCACACAGTGGTACATTCCAGCTTGCGCCACTGTACCTGGGCTGTAATTAAATTTCTTAAAAGTATGCAAATGACTCTCTCTGTATTAGTATATACCTCTCCCTCACTGGAAGTATTAGTATATACCTCTTCCTCATCTGTGGAAGTGAGTCTACTATCCATGTTGCTTGCCTCACTTCTTCCCTATTGCTCTTCCTACTGCACACATACCTAGTATGTTTTTCAGGCCAGTGAAGTCAGGATCAAACCACAGTTGGCTATCTGGGATGTGATTCCCTTAGGTATTGGCTGTGGGCTGGGCCAAAAGTATCAAGTTTTTTAAAAAGAATTATTTTATTTATTCATTCATTTATTTTAATTTTACCAGAGAGAAACACAGAGAGAGAGAGAGGAAAAATGAAAAAGCAAGCCACCAGGTCCAGGATTCAATCTGTGGTGGGTCATGTGGGAATGTCCAGTGCCTTAGCCACCCCACCACCTATGGGCCCCAAAGGTACTAATTTTTATTAGCCTCAAACAACTAAACCTCATCAACTCTCAGCTAGTTCTGTACTTATTCTGCAGGCTTAAGCAAACCTTTATGGAGATTAACAAAAATTTCAGAAGCAGAACGATAGGCTGAAAAATCCTTCAATACCATAATTCTAAATATTTTTCCAAAGCTCAGGATTGAGAAATAAACATTCATATTTAAGAAAAAGGAAAAAAAATCAAAACAAAAAAGTAAAAAACAGGGGCCAGCAGGTGGCATGGTGGTTGGGAGTACTGGACTCCCACATAACTGACCGCGGTTCAAGTCCTGGAATTGGCGGCTTGCTTTCTCACTTCCCCTCTCTCTCTCACTCTGTCCCCCTCTGATCAAATTAATATAAAAAAAAAATAAAGTTAAATAAAATAATTCTTAAAAAAAAGTAAAAAACAAGAAGGGCCAGCCAGGTAGAATTGAGGTTAAGGTGGTTAGATCCCACATAGCTGATTGTGCGTTTCAAGTACCAAACCCTCTTAATAAGCACGCTAGGCACATGTGTGTACATGCCCAAAGTCCCAAGAGGAGAACAGAGAAGGGACTGTGCATGGCTACCCCACTGGGTATGTGTGGGGTGATTTTTCTCTCCCTCTCCCACTCTGTTTCTCTGTGGAGAGCACATGTGCCCTATAGCAAATTAAAAGAAAGAAAGGGAAAAAGAAAAAAATAAACCCTAAACAGACAAAATTTCATGTGAGAATGTAAAATATAATAAAAGTTGTCTTCTCTAACCAATTATAAATTACACTGAGTCTTTAAATGGTATTGTGATAACTGATAAGCTATTTGGAAAAGAAAGTCATTACATTATTCTTTTTCACTCCTTACACCAAAATAAACTTCAGTTAGACTCAAGATTCAAATATATATGACATAAGTAAAAATAAATATTATAAGTAACATACACATATAAAAATAATACATATAAAAACTTTATTAGTGGGCCAGTCAGTGGTGTGGCCGTTAAGGTGGCTGAATCCCTCCTGGTCAACTGCATGGTTCAAGTTCTAGAACTGGCAGCTTAAACAAACAAACAAAAAAACATGCAGGGCCCAGTAGGTGGTGTGGTGACTAAGGTGCTGGACTCCCACATGGCCAACTGCAGTTAAGCATCCCAGATCCTGCAACCTGAAAATCAAACCAGTTGTATATGAGTGAGTATTTAAAATTCAGAAAGGAGAGGAGAACAGAGAAGAGATAGTGACATGGCCATCTCCCCGGGAATTGATTTCTCACTTTTCCTCTCACTGTCACTCTCTGGGGGGAAAAAAAAAAAAAGAACAAAAAAAGCAAGGTATGTATGCGGGCAGGTATGCATGTGTGTCCAAAATCCTAAGAGGAGGATGGAGGAGAATTATCATTTTCCTGGTGAATATTTCTCTCTTTCTCTCCATGACAAGTGCACGCGCTCCATAGTAAAGTTAAAAAACAATTATTGGGACCACCAGTTAGTGTAATGGCTATATCGCTGGATTCCCATGTAGTCAACCGTGGTTCGAGTCCTGGACCCAGTGGCTTAAACTCACGCTGGGTATGTGTGCATGCATGCCCAAGATCCTGAGAGGAAAATGGAAAAAAAGGGATTGTGGCATGGCCATCCCCCATAGAGGGTAATTTCTTGCCTTTTATCTCTCTGTCTCTGTCTTTCTGGCGAGCACACACACCCTATAGCAAAAACCTCTCCAAAAAAAATTAAAAATTATTAGAGGGCCAGCTGGTAATGTGGTGATAAAGGCAGCTGGATCCCACATGGCTGACTATGTAGTTCAAGTCCCAGACCTGGTAGCTTGAAAATAACATGCCAGGCACATGTGAATGCATGCCCAACATCCTGAGAGAAGAATGGAAAAGAAGGGACTGCAGTATGGCCATCTCCCACATGGGGAGCTTTCTCATTTTCACACTCTGTCTGGTAAGCACACACCCCCTATAGCAAACTTTAAAAAAAAAAAAGAAAAAAATTTATTAGAACTGTGAAAGTTTTGGGACCAGCAGTTAGTGTAATGGCTATGTTGCTGGACTCCCATGTAGTCGACTGCAGTTTAAGTCCCAGACCCAGTGGCTTAAACTCACGCTGGGCACATGTACATGCCTGCCCAAGGTCCTGAGAGGAGATTGGAGGAGAAGGTATTGTGGTGTGGCCATCTCCCCTGGGGGGTGATTTCTCACTTTCTATCTGTCTCTCTCTGTCTTCCTGGCAAGCGCACGCGCCCTATAGCAAAAACTTCTCAAAAAAGAAAAAAAAAAAAGGAATGTGAAAGTTTTATTTATTTATCTATTTTCTACATTTGTTACAGGGCACGTGTGCTTGTCAAAGAGAGACAGAGAGATAAAGTAAGAAATCACCTCCCCAGGGGGAATGGCCATGCCACAATCCTTTCTTCTCTATCCTGTCAGGATTTGGGGTGCACACACACCTGACACGATTTTTCAATCCACCAGGTCTGGGATTCTAACCTCTCCAAAAATAAATAAGTAAATAAATTTGAAAAATTATGTTAGTCTATCTAAAACTATTTTTTTAAAGAATTATTTTATTTAATTTCATTTATTCATTCATTCTTTTTTTGGGGGGAGAGGTTTTTGCTATAGGGCGCGTGCACTCGCCAGAATCACAGAGAGACACAGAGACAGAAAGCGAGAAATCAACCCCCAGGGGGGATGGCCACGCCACAATCCCTTCTCCATTCTCCTCTCAGGATTTTGGGCACACACGCACCCAACGTGAGTTTAAGCCACCGGGTCTGGGACTCGAACCGCAGTCAACTATAAGGGAGTCCAGCAACACAGTCATTACACTAACTGCTGGTCCATTATTCATTCATTTTATTTTGACCAGAGAGGGAAAGAAGAAGAGAGAGGAAAAGCGAGAAAGCAAGCCACCAAGTCCAGGACTCGAAACATGGGTCAGCCAGATGGGAATCCAGCACCCTTAACCATTCCATACCACCTGCTGGTCCCTCTAAAACCACTTAAAAACATTTTTTTTAAAGAATTATTTTACTTTAACTTTATTTATTTATTTTCTTTTGACCAGAGAGGGACATAGTAAGAGAGAGAGATTGAGAGAAAGCAAGAAAGCAAGCCAACAGGTCCAGGACTCAAACCGCGGTTGGCCATGTGGGAGTCCAGTACCCTTAATCACCACGCCACCTGCCAGCCCCCTAAAACTACTTTTAAAAATAAACACAAATATAAGTTATTTGGTAGAAATATTTAAAACATGCAGAAGAGGAACAGAAATGGTTAAATCATTATATATAGCCAAAATAGTTACATGCCACCAATGATCCATAAGCAAGGAAAATGACCAATGACTATTTCCATCAACTTACCGAAATATGGGGGTATGGCCAGGTTTTGGTTTGCTCCAAGTAAAGGGTGAAGGAACTGAAAGAAACTGGTCACCAGATGAATCTTTCTTTAAAGGATACTGAGATCCAAGGCCATCATCTATTGAAGTCTCTCGGGATGGTGATAAACTCCCTTGGTCATCTGAAGAGAGCTCTAATTTTCCTGGTGATATGGCAGCTTGATCCTCTGAAGTCTTCCTTGTTTTCAAAGGGATATCAGTCTCTATGCAGTACTGAAATGGAAAAAGTGCTGGGCCAAGGCCTGATCCACTGAGCCAGGTATCTTCTGTTACACTTCCCCTGGGAGAATGACCAGGAGACGGAACGGGTGAGTGATGGGGTGAAAGGGATCCAGCATAACACACTTCAGCACTTGAGTGACGCCGTTTCCCACAGGGGGAAGTAGGCCTTGATGAAGGTCCTGAGGCCGGCCGGGGGCTCAGCCAATTCTCATCAGTGATACTGGATCTAGGAGAATGGCAAGGTGATTGCCTAGGTGACAAGGAATGTCCAAGTCCATACTGTTGGTGCCAGGACTCTTCTCCAGGACAGCCTCCTGGAGAACCACCAGGAGAAGTCAGGGGGGATCCAAGAGTAAATCGGGCAGCAGCTTCATTCAACTCCGAGTCCACATCGTCATAAATATGTGAAAGAGATTCACAAGAGGATGCATCTGAGAACCAGCTCCTAGAAGAGATGCTGCTGGCAGGACTAGGACTAAGGGAAGACTCTCGGTAGGATGGATCAAGAGGAAGATAGAGATGGTCTCTAGAAGGCCTTTCCAAATATTCCCTTTCTGGGTCATTTATGTCATCTTCGTGTGCATCTATTTCTTGATGACAGTTAGGAGAGATAGATGTAATCTGAATACTTGGACATTCAAATGGTTTGGGGCCACCTATGGGACTATATTTAGATTCAGGGATCTCATAAGTTCCTTCATAGTTTTTGTGAGCTTGGAGCTGAAACGATGGTGACAAAACAGAAGAGTGAGACGGTAATCCATGATGTGGTAAGCAAAGTGGTGAGTTTAAAGTAGATGGAGGTGGATCTACATTAAAGATGTAAATGGATGCACAATCATCTGGCTCAAGATCTATGGGAGGGAAGGCAAAATAAAACGAAACAACAAAACAATACAAGGAATTAGAAAATTTAGATGTATAAATTGTTCTAGATGAGAAAGTATATAATCTTGAAAGAAAAAAGTGGAACATAAAATGTGTATCATTTGCTCCACTAAATTGTGTGTTTTTTGTTTCATGCACCTGGTAATTTTTGCAGATATAGTATACAATTATATATGTAATTTTTTTCTTTTGATTTCTGTATTTTCTAAAATGAGAACCAGAAAATATTATAATCTAAAAACAATAAATGCTTTTTTTCTTAAGTTTATTTATCCATTTCTTCTCCAAGAGAGCCAGCAAGCATGCACACCCTGAAGCAGGATCTTGGCACAGCAACCCATGTCCAGCCTCAGCAGCCCCTTATCATGGGCATACACACCAGGCATATTCAAGAAAGGTCTCTGGACATGAACTCAGAACCTTCCCAAGTAGGCCAATCTCAAAGCACTGTGTTTTTACTGTCTTATCATCATTCAGCCATACCACTGGGACCTTTGCTTAACAAGAAAATAATTTGTGAGGGCTTTTAATTTATGGTTAATCATTAAAGTAATCCTAAGGACAAACTTTTAGAATTAATGCTTGCTGAAGTATTTAACACTAAACATGCCCTGTCAGACTACCTACTGAGAGTGTTTGTACCAATAAGAGTATTTTAAAACTTGTTTTTTGTTTTTGTTTTTTCTTGAGAACACGTATGCTTGCCAGACAGACAGACAGGGAGAGGAGAAAGCACTTCCCATGGGGAATGGTCACACTGCAATCCCTTTTCCCCATTTCTCCTTCCTTTTGGGATTTTGGACATGCATGTAGACATGCCTTGTGGGTTTTTCAAGCTGCCAGGTCTGGATGCTAAACCACAGGATCAGCCATATGGGTTCTGACTGCCTTACCCACCAGGCCATGGAGCTGGTCCCAAACTTCACTTGTAAGGAGGAATATAATCTATTTTCACAAAGGCTGAAGTATGAAGCTTTAGAACATGGTGCTGGCTGAAGACCTTCACTTTTTCCAAGGAGATCATCATTGGGAGACCAAAGATAATACCATTCATAGACAAAACAGAGAGAAGCACATATCTTTAGCCTCTTATCAGTAGTCAAAAAGAGCACAATGCTTCATGACATTAGTACCCCTGGAAAATAATGCATACCTCTTAAAGCTACTAGCTGCAAACAACAGAAAACCCAACTCCAACTAGCTAAGAAAAAGAAAGTGATATTAATTATCCAACATAACATAAGGTCCAAAGCTAGGAAAGCCCCAGAAGTGGTTATTTTGTTAGTTCAATATTATCTTCAAAAAAACGAGTTTTGGGACCAGCAGCTGGTGTAATGGCTATGTCGCTGGACTCCCATGGAGTCGACTGTGGATCAAGTCCCGGACCCGGTGGCTTAAACTCATGGTGGGCATGTGTGTATGCGTGCCCAAGATCCTGAGAGGAGAATGTAGGAGAAGAGATTGCAGCATGGTCATCCCCTCCGGGGGGTGATATCCCAGTTTCTGTCTCTCTGTCTCTGTCTTTCTGGTGAGCACACGCGCCCTATAGCAAAAACCTCTCCAAAAATTTTTCTTTCTATATCTTATTTTCCTTTTCTTAAGAGTGCTAACCTTGTGCTGTTCACTTTCAACCATGTATTCCATTCCAAACCAGAAATGCAATGATTCTATTCATTCATTTAATAAATATCTGAGGGGCCAGCAGATGGCGTGGTAGTTAAGGACATTGGACTCCCACATAGCTGACCGTGGCTGGAGTCCCAAACCTGTAATCATCTCTCCCTCTCTCTCTCTCTCTGTCCTTCTTTGGTCAGATTAAAATAAATATATAAAATTACGTTAAATAAAAATAATTATTTAAAAAATATTTGAATAGCTACTATATAGCAGGCCTGTTCTAGATACTAAAAACTCAACAGAAAATAAAACTAAGTCCTCATTCTCATGTAATTTACATTATATTGGGTTGTCGGGAAAGTCGTGATGTATTTTTCTATGCAAAAATGACAACCTAATAGTAACATATATCAAGCAGTACTTGCTATTAAAAAAATAAAGCAGAATAAGGAGGATAAAGATGTGAGGTCTGGAAAGTGTTCTCCAATGTTTGAAGAGATATCAAAAGAATATAAATGTAACTGAACTGACTCCCACATAGTCTAACGTGGTTAAGGTCCTGGACCCAGCAGCTTAAAACACACTGGGTGCTTGTGCATGCATCCCCAAAATCCCAAGAGGAGAATGGAGGAGAGGGATTGTGGCATGGTCATCCCTCCCGGGGGGTGATTTCTTGCTGTCTGTCTCTCTCTCTGTTTCTTTGATGAACTCACATACCCTACAGCAAAAATCTCTTTAAAAAAAAATAGTAAGTGCAAAGTCCTGAGGACAGAGTGTATGAGAAAAAGCAAGAGAACCAGTGGGAAGAGAAATGAGTAAGGTGACAGAATAATGAGGACTGATGTGTATGTGTTCAGGAGGGATCAGGCAAGTAAGGCCTTGTGAGATGAGAAATCACTGGAGGGTTCTAAATAAAAGTGTCAGAATCTGATCTACATGATCTAATGTACTTTTAAGAGACTACTGTAGTAATCCACATGAGAATAATGGAACACAGGAGAAGGATGATAATGTATTATAAAAGTAAAAGAAGCCATTAGAAGGAAGACTTTGGATTAAGGTAGTACAGACAGAACTTGGTAACTGAATATGAGAGAATAGTCAAGGATGACATGAAGGTTTAGAGCATCAACAGTATTAGTGAGATGAGGAAAAAGAAAAATTAGGGAGATATGAAATAAAAAACTCTACCTATTAAATATGAGATTCTAATAAACAAAGGACATAGCAAACAAATATCTGTACATAAAGACAAAGGCTAGCGGGACCAGCAGGTAGCGTAATGGCTGTGTCGCTGGACTCCCATGTAGTCGACCGCGGTTCGTGTCCCGGACCCGGTGGCTTAAAACTCACGCCGGGCGCGTGTGCGTGCATGCCCAAGATCCCAAGAGGAGAATGGAGGAGAAGGGATTGCGGCGTGGCCATTCCCCCTGGGGGATGATTTCTCGCTTTCTATCTCTCTGTCTCTCTCTGTCTGTCTGGCGAGCGCATGTGCCCTATAGTGAAAATCTCTCAAAAAAAAAAAAAAGACAAAGGCTAGCAATGTAAATTTCAGAGTCACAATTGTATAGATGATATTTACTTATAAAGTTGTAAGACCAAGTCATTACGGAGTAAGATGCATATATTGGGTCATCTGAAAAGACACAACACATTTTTATATAAAAAATATACATCACAGGAAACCAGCAGATAGCATAGTAGTTACATCATGACCCCAACATACCAGACCACGGTTTGAAACTTGGACCTGGTGGATTAAAACTCACGCTAGGTGCATGTGCGTGTGTGCCCAAGATCCCAGGAAGAGAATGGAGAAGAAGGGATTAATGCATGACCATCCCCCCTGGGGGTGATTTCTCACTTTCCCTTTCACTGTGTCTATCTGTCTCCCTGGTGAGTGCATGTGCCCTAAGGCAAAAACCTCTTTAAAAAATAAAAGAAGAAAGAAAAATATGTCTGGACTTTTCCAGTGATCTAATAAAGGGGGGAAAAAGCATTCAAACCAAGGTATAGGACAGAATCAAAGTTTAGGAACCAGGAAGACAAGTGAGCTGGGAGAGAGAAGGAACACCAATGAAATGAAAGTGAACCAAGAGTGTGGCATCCCAGAAGTCAAGTGAAAACAGTGCACATTCCTTCACCAACTATCAATGACATGATTACTATTGATATTTTACAGGTACTATTCTAGATGGAAGGCATAGTAACAAGGCATGCATGGTCCCTGCCCTCATAAAGTATCAAATCTCAAGAGAGACGGACAAAACACAAATTCAAGAACCAGACAGTGGTACAGAGGTAGTAACGCAATGCTCTCCAAGGCTAGATCCAAATTAGAAGATTCCACGTACACATTCTGAGGCCTCCCAGTACACCAGTATCCTGATCCAGGATAGCTGAGGCTGGGGGTGTATTACGGCATGAAGACCATTCTGGGAATGCTCCCCCCCTTGCTCATAGAAGAAATAAACAAATTTCTTAAAATCTCACAAATTAAAAATCCTAAGTGCTACTAGTAGCAAAAAAGAAACTAAAGAGGGAATTTATTTTTTAAATTATTTGAAAGATTTATTTAATTACATTTATTATTATTATTATTAAATTTGGCCAGAGAAAGAGAAAGGGAAAGTGAGAAAACAAGTCACCTGGTCTAGGACTTGAACCACAGTCAGCTCTGTACAAGTCTAGCACTTTACATGCCACCTGCCAACCCAGGAGGAATTTATTTGTCAGAGAGTACAGGAATGGCCTTTTTGAGAAAGCATGCAAGCTAAAACCTAAAAGATAATGGGAACCAACAAGCAAAGAAAGGGAGTCAGTGAGGGCAGGGAGGCATGAGGGGATAAGGTGATGGTTCTCACACAGGAGAAAAGTATAAGCAAACATTCTGAATCACATAAGACCTTGGTTTCTTTGAGGACTTAAAAGGCCCAATGTTACTAGAACTAAGAAATGAAGGGGAAAGCTGGAAGAAGCAAGAAGAAACCACAGTAAGGAAGCTGAATTTTATTTAAGCGATACTAAAAGCCATGTAAGAGTTTTAAAAAGAATGACATGATTTCTATTATATTTGAAAATAATGTGGACTGCTTATACATTCCTAGTAAGTTCCTGATATTTATGAGGTTTATGTGATACCACTAAAGTTGGAATTACTTCCCTTATAGAATCCATGCTACTCCATAAGTTAGGTCAGCAAAATCCTCAGGAATTTTTTTCAATTGCCAAAAGGTATATATGTACTCTCCAGAGAGAAAGAGAAACAAAACAAGCACAATCCCCATTAAGGCCTGGACCACAATCCTTTGTCATCAATGTCTTCCCATTAAGATATCTGAGCATGCCA